AGATATACCGGAAAAAAGTAGGGGGACGATGTTTAGAGTATTTTTGAATATTTTTTGTAGTATTTTTTGGCAATCCTTTTTTCTCCGTCCAAGACCCGCCTGTAGGAGGACACGCCCGACCTAAAGCCATGAGCTTGGCAACGCTCGGACGTGTGCACTTTTTCTCGGCGAGGGCCTTCGAGGAGCATCCCAGGTCCTCTGGCAACAAAAAGCCCGCACAAAACTAGAACATGCACCTGGCGTGGACGTCCGAGCGACGGCAGGGGAGGCGCATGAGGGGCAGCCCTTGCTGCGGCGGGCGGCCGCTGCGTCGGCTGCCAGCGCTGCAGCGGCATCCGCTTCCTGTGCTTAAGTCGGGCATGTCTCTCCACAGGAGGAATTTTCTGAAATATAGAAAACATAGCCTGGGGACGACTTTCGATTATTTGGACTATGTATGTTTGCTTTGTCCTACTATTTTTGATTTTCTTTCCGACATCCGCCTGTAGGGGGACATGCCCGACCTGACCCTAGAGCCTGATGGTGTCCATCTAGGGCAAGAGCAGCCGCCGAGAAACGTGCGCACCCCCGGGCGTCTTGTATTGCATGTCCAAGGAGTGCGCCGACGAGGAAGGCTGTGGCGAGATTCCAGTGTCTGCTGGAGTCCGGCGGCTCTCTTCATGTGGTGAGCTCGGGGTTGGAGCTCAGGATCGTCTGGCGGCTGCACGGGGCCTGTCTCAAGCTCCCGCTTGCACGCAACAAGCGAGGAAGCCGCGAATGCAAACGAAGACGATGTGCGGACACATTTTTGGTGCGAGTTGGCCCGTATGCGCAGGGCTCCGAGTGCCTTGTTCGACAGGCCGGAGCGGCATGAGGGATGAAACATAAGGTATGCTCACACAGAAGAGGAAGTCGAATAATAGTAATATCAGTAGTATTAGTGCTAATAGCAATAGTAATGGGAATAGTAGTACTCGTAATAGTAAGTTTGTTAGTGCTAGTACTCGTAATAGTAATCGTCATAGTAATCGTACTGGTAACAATACTATGAACAGTAATAATAATAGTGATACTACTATAACTAGAAGTAGTACTAGTTACCGTAGTGGAAATTGTACGAGCAGTAGTAATAGTACTTGCAAGAGTAATCATCAAACTACTAACCATAGAAATAGTGATGGTCATAGTAATCGTCATAATGAAAGTAATAGTGGTAGTGATAGTCGTGGTAACAGTTATAGTAAACGTAATCGTAATAGTCATAGTTATAGTAGTAGTCGTAGTAGTACTAGTAGTAGTAACATGGTTAGTACTAGTACTAGTAATAGTAAGTAACACTACGAGTAAGAGCAATAGTAACATCGGTAGAATTCGTAGCACTATTAGTACTAGAAAAACGATTTGTAATAGCGATAGTACTAGTAATAGGGACGATAATACTACTAGTACTGGTAAACGTAATCGTAGTCGTACTAGTGATAGTACTCGTGGAATTAATGATCATAGTAGCAGTCGTAGTAGTAGCAGTAGTAGTAGTAGTAGTAGTAGTAGTAGTAGTAGTAGTAGTAGTAGTAGTAGTGGTAGTAGGAGTACTAGTGATAGTAGTCGTAGTCGTAGTAGTAGTAGTAGTAGTAGTAGTAGTAGTAGTAGTAGTAGTAGTAGTCGTAGTAATAGTAGTAGTAGTCGTAGCAGTAGTAGAAGAAGTAACAGTCGCCGTAGTAGTAGTAGTAGTAGTAGTAGTAGTAGTAGTAGTAGTAGGTGTAGTAGGTGTAGTAGTAGTAGTAGTACTCGTAGTAGAGTCGTAGTCGTAGTCGTAGTCGTAGTAAAAGTAGTAGTAGTAAGTAGTAGTAGATAGTAGTGTAGTGGTAGTAGTAGTAGTAGTAGTAGTAGTAGTAGTAGTAGTAGTAGTAGTCGTAGTAGTAGTAGTAGTAGTAGTAGTAGTAGTAGTAGTAGTAGTAGTAGTAGTAGTCGTAGTAGTAGTAGTAGTAGTAGTAGTAGTAGTAGTAGTAGTAGGAGTAGTAGTAGTAGTCGTAGTAGTAGTAGTAGTAGTAGTAGTAGTAGTAGTAGTAGTAGTAGTAGTAGTAGTAGTAGTAGTAGTAGTAGTAAGGTAATAGAGTAGTAGTAGCAGTAGTAGTAGTAGTAGTAGTAGTAATAATAGTAGTAGTAGTAGCAGCAGTAGTAGTCGTAGTTGTCGTAAGTAGTAGTAGGAGTAGGCAGTGATAGTAGTAGGAGTAGTAGCGTAGTAGTAGTAGTAGTAGTAGTAGTAGTAGTAGGTAGTAGTAGTAGCAGTAGTCGTAGCAGTAGTAGTAGTAGTAGTAGTAGTAGTAGCCGTAGTAATAGTAATAGTAGTAGTAGTAGTAGTAGTAGTAGTAGTAGTAGTGGTAGCAGTAGCAGTAGTAGTCGTCGTAGTCGTAGTCGTCGTAGTCGTAGTAGTAGTAGGGGTAGTAGTAGTAATAGTAGTCGTCGTCGTCGTCGTTGTCGTCCTAATAGCTTTAGTAGTTGTAGTAATAGCAGTAGTGGTAGTAGTAGCAGTAGTAGTTCTAGTAGTAGTAGTAGTAGTAGTAGTAGTAGTAGTAGTAGTAGTAGTAGTAGTAGTAGTAGTAGTAGTAGTAGTAGTAGTCGCTGTCGTATTATTATTAGTAAGCAATATTATTATTAGTCGTAGTATTGGTGGTATCGTAGTAGTAATAGTAAGTAGTAGAGTATTAGTAGTAAGTAGTATCAATAAGTGGTATTAGTCGTAGTAGATATTAGTAGTAGTAGTAGTAGTGGTGGTGGTAGTGGTAGTTGTATATATAGTAGTATAGTCAGTAGTTCGTAGTAGTAATAGTATAGTATAGTCGGTAGTTGTAGCATTAGTATAGTACTGGATTAGTAGTAGTAGTAGTAGTAGTAGTAGTAGCAGTAGTAGTATTAGTAGTAGTAGTAGTTGTAGTTGTAGTCGTAGTAGTAGTAGTAGTAGTAGTAGTAGTAGTAGTAGTAGTCGCAGTCGTAGTCGTAGTCGTAGTAGTAGCAGTCGCAGTAGTAGACGAACCAGTCGTAGTAGTAGTAGTAGTAGTAGTAGTCGTAGTAGTCGTCGTAGTCGTAGCCGTAGTAGTAGTAGTAGTAGTAGTAGTAGTAGTAGTAGTAGTAGTAGTAGTCGTAGTCGTAGTAGGTGTAGTAGTCGTAGCCGTGGTCGTAGTACTAGTAGTCGTAGTCGTAGTAGTAGTAGTCGTAGTAGTAGTAGTAGTAGTAGTGGTAGTAGTAGTAGTAGTAGCAGTAGTAGTAGTAGTAGTAGTAGTCGTAGTAGTAGCAGTAGTAGTATAGCAGTAGAAGTAGTAGCAGTAGTCGTAGTAGTAGAGTAGTAGTCGTAGTAGTAGCAGTAGTAGTAGTAGTAGTAGTAGCAGTAGTATTAGTAGTAGTAGTTGTTGTAATCGTATTAGGAGGCGTAGTAGTAGTACTACTACTAGTAGTAGTAGTAGTAGTAGTAGTAGTAGTCGTGGTAGTCGTAGTAGTGTTAGTGGTGG